CAATATTGCACTGTAAAATACGGGAAAAGCGATGAATGACATTAGAATTAATTGCCCAACAGTCTCAAGCTTGCAAATCAGCAATAAAACTTTTTTTTATTCTGTTTTACCGTATGTCTGTTTCAGCAGCGATATCATAAAAGCCAGTTTTTGTAAGGTCGCGAATTTAAGCTAAACTTTGACTTTTCATGGTCGGAATTTGGGAAACAAAGTGTGGCTTCTATTCAGGCCAATATGGTATATTAACAATGAAGCAAACATAGTAGGGCAACTGGAGTGGAAAGTCAACAGTGATCTAGAGGAGGGAGGAAAATAAGCAAGGGTCCCACACCACTCTTTCAGTCCGGGGTTTGTTGACATATTTTCCAGCTGGCAATAGTTATGGTGGCCTCAGTCTCATTCTGGAGGGAGAGTTTGAAAACAAGTGGGGGGCGGGAATGGTCTCAGATCAGGTTGTTCAGCACTGCTCAACGAGCTGCTGTCACCACACTTTCTCCCTCAAACAGGAATGGCTGTCTTGTTTTTCGGTTTTGCTTTTTTTTGAAGGGGAAGAGGACTTCTCACTGGATCCAGCTGCTGGCTGTCCCTTGGGCCTCATCTCAGAAATCCAGCAGGCCTCTGGACCAGATAAAGGTTGACTTTGATCCTTGACTGAAACAATCCTGTGGTGAAAGCATGATAATACAATCAGGTACGAGATACTGATATGATGAAGTGCAGAAATGATGCAATAAGCTCTCAAAGCCCTTTGTCCTTTACTGTTACCATTGGTGGTCCTTCTAGGGCCATTTCCCCATCTAAACCTGATCTCTGGTGTGGCATGGATGCTACCCCACCCCTGGTGCTTTTCTTGGATTTACTGCCTTGGAATTCCTCCTCCTTAATGACATGCGTTGATACATGCTGTAGTTGCTCGTGGTGAGGTATAAATATTCTGCAAATGCCTTGGAGGAGCTCTTTAGCCACACATTTTGGAGTATTGCCTTTTTGCCCAGTAACAGATTCTGGAGAATCCCTGCCATACATTCCCCTCGTAATTTTGGAGCCACTGCGTGGCACCATTGTCCCCTGGCTTTGGAGTTATTGCTATGATTTTTATGCAGTAAATAAGATTAAATTATCTGTATCTATAAAGAAGGAGCAAAGTCAAAAAATTTCCTCCCACTTTGATAAGAGCAAGACAGAGGCAAAGATGTAAGCTCTCGACCTTGGCCTGTCTTGAGGGTGGACCCCACCAGCTTCGTGCGAAACCAAACCAAACCCAGTGACACAATGACATTGAATGTCACATCCTTTAAAAGACACAAACTACAGAAATATCTCACCTGAAAAGTCCCTTAGTTAGCTTGGATAGGCTGAGCCACTATGTGCAGCAGAATAAAATGGGAAATTTTGGGAATATGACTCTCTACCTACAAGTCTGAAGTAGTGCCATCCATTCAACTATCTCAGCATTCTTTTGCCTCATTCTGCTGAATGAAGCTGACTATGGCTTGAGACAGATTCAGCTAACTGGTCCCACCAGCAGAAGCCCATGAAAGATTTGCACTAGCACAGTTGGGCTTCCTCACCTCTTACCAGTAGTGTACACCATTGGAGAAATCACTGCTTGACTTAAGAGCAAAGTGTTTTACAATGAAGAACAATTTGGTTGAATAAGAAACCAAAAAACCCTCATTTCACCACTTTGCTAAAAATAGCACAGCCTGTGGTTTAAACTGTATAGAACCATGTCTCGTCTTGAACTGTTTAATGAAGTGAAACAAAAATCCATACATTAGTCATCCTTTGCACAGTCTGGCTGGCAAGTCTAACTTGGAATAGTTTATTCTTATTCGTACTATTGTGTCTGGTGGTTACCTCACTGCGAGAAGCAAAGTTACAGGGAACCAGGCAGAGAGCCTTCTTGGTAGTGGTGCCCACCCTGTGGAACGCCCTCCCACCAGATGTCAAAGAAATAAACAACTATCTGACATTTAGAAGACATCTGAAGGCAGCCCTGTTTAGGAAAGCTTTTAATATTTGATGAATTATTGTATTTTAATATTTTGCTGGAAGCCGCCCAGAGTGGCTGGGGAAACCCAGCCAGATGGGCCGGGTATAAATAATAAATTATTATTATATTATTATCCTGGGACAGAGATGGTTAGACTGATACAGCTTTTCTGCCAGGAAGTGGATTTTCACAGGGAGTGGGGAGGATGTAGGAGTGGGATGAACATTTTGAATTTTTCTTTCCAGCTATTCCTTGAGTGGGGGCTAAAGCAAAACCCTCCTAAAAAAACAACAACATGATGGGGAGGTGGGAAAGGAATTTCTCTGAAATTTCCAGGAAGGGTTAATCATCCAACTGACTTGACCTTAGAGGTGACCAGGATTTTAAGTGTTTTCTTAATATATATAATATTTTAAGTTTTAAAAGAAAACTTAAAATAAACAATGCATCAACAAAATGAACACTGAACCACCTCTCTAGATAAGTAAGGTAAGCATTTTTTTCAGTGTCATTATTTGCACTTCTGGGCAAAATTGTCAGATGAATCAGTTCCCAATATTCACATCAGCACAAGGCTCCTTCTGCAGCTTCCTGCTGGCTGCACTTTCTGGAAAGCCTTGGGATCAACTCCACAACAATTGCATTGTTTTGCTCCCAAGGCATTGCGTTGTTCTGCTGCCAAGAAAGTGTGGCTGGCCAGAAGTGTCTCAAGGTTCTCTCCATAGCATCTTACCAGCTGCACTTCCAGGTGGGATCCAGGGCTGGTGGGGGTGTGGCCTGGGGAGACTCCCAAGGGCCAGAGAGAGAGAGAGGGCTAGAAGGGTGCATTTGGCCACTGGGCTTGGGATTCTCCACCCCACCTTTAACTCTTAAATTGCCACCATTAACTTTCAGTTTTCCTAGACCCATTTTGAGTCAAGTTAACGACCCCTCCCCTCCCCAGATGTGTCAAAATCTGATGTGCGGGTTTCTTAACAATGTGCCTCCAAAGCTGTGAGCTTATGGAAAGTATACATTATGGAGATGGCTCTGGCAAGTGCAAAGAAAGCTGATTCTCTTCTACATGTTACACTGCTTTCATAGATACCCCTGATTTGACCTTCGTCCTTGAGACCTTTTAATTTGTCAAGCTTTTTTCTTTCATTTTCAGAGGCCAAAGGTTGAGAGACATCAAAGTCCTTTTTTTATCCCAAGCATCCTTACAATTATACAGGACTGCAGTCATGGTTCCTGGCCGCTAGAGGCTGCTGTAGTCTTTATGCATATATAGAGAGACAATGACAGCAATTGTTGGTGACGGTGTTGGTTTATTAGGGAGGGGGAATCCAACATGAACTAAAAAATATCACAGTGTAGCAAGTATCCAGACATTTGTTCCTCATCTCACATCCCAGTTAGACACCCCATTTATGGGAGCTAATTCATTATTAACTGTAGAACTATGGGTTGGCCACTCCCTCTCTCATCTGTTTTCTTGGTTGCCTTGTTGTGGAGCACACACTCCATATGCATAAGGTCATGGAATCCTAGAGCTGGAAGGTACCCCAAGGGTCATCTAGTCCAACCCCCTGCAATGCAGGAATCTCAGCTAAAGCAACCATGACAGATGGCAACCCAACCTCTGCTTAAAAACCTCCAATGAGTCCACTACCTTCCGAGGGAAGGTCAAGCAGCTCTTACTGTCAGAAAGTTGATTCTTAGCATCCATCTATCCCAAGAGACTATGGAGTGCAGCTCCAGGGGAGAAGTCAAACATCTGGAGAATCGCAGCAGCTGCTGTGGCATGCCGACACCTACTTGGAACTATACATGTATTTTAAGAAGCAGATAAAATTGGGATATTATTTCATCTATTTCCATAAGGATATTGTAAGTAGCTTTTGAGATGTACCCCTGAAGTAGAGCTTCATCCATTATAGTGACCTTTTCGATCATGCAGTGGGATTACTAGCATAAGATTAATAATGTTTCATATTGCCCAGCTGTCTACAGGCTTCCAAAATGCAGCCCTTCATATCCTAGGTAATAAGAGCCTTATCTGTTGGTTTAAATATAACATGCACTCAACTGCCAATATGATAATCTTGTTGTGTAAATATACAATGTGACTGCATCTGGAATACTGCATAAAGTTCTGGCTGCCTCACCTGAAAAAGTCTCTCTCTCTCTCTCTCTCTCTCTCTCTCTCTCATAGTACTAGAACTTGGGGCTATCCAATGAAGTTGAGTGTTGGAAGATTCAGTACAGACAAAAGAAAGCACTTCTTCTCACAGCGTATAGGAATCTGTTCCTCCAAGAGATGGTGGCCACCTCCTCAAACAGCTTTAAAAGAGGATTGAACAAATTCATTGAGGACAAGGGTATCAATGGCGGACAACCACTATGGCTATGTTCTACCATCAATGTTGGAGGAGGAATGCCTCTGGATAGCACTTACTGGGAATCACAAATGTGGATAATGCGCTCCCATTCTGCTTGTGGGATTCCCATGGGCATCTGGTTGGCCACTGCAAGAACTGGATGCTGAACTAGTTCTGTCTTTGGCTTGATTCCACAGCCACATCACATGGCCTCATGTACTTTCTCTACACTTGGGGAACACCGATGAATTTTATGTTTTAATTTCAATGGCAGATTCCAATTGTAAGATCACAGAGCGCACAACCAACTTCTTTGCTGTGGCCATCAAAACTAGATCACAATTATTGAAGGGGAAATTAGTCCAAATTTTCTGTATTTTTACCTATTTTGGATTTTGCAATGTTCTTGCAAAAAGGGCACAATTTGTGTGCGGGGGCAGGTGTTTTGTTCCCCCCTACCCCACTTATTTTGATACTCTTACAGTGAATTTGATGTTTATGGTCTGTGGACCAAATACACTTGACTTGAATATTCATTATGTAAAGTGTAGTATAACGTGACGACACGTTCAAAACATCTGCTGTCAGCATTTCCTAGTTCCTATATGCTTTAAGTCTCAAGCATTCATTACCTCACTGCAAACAAGACCATGAGGACTACACTCAGCTGTCTTCTGGGTGAGTAGGAAATTGCTAGGCTAAGAAATCCAACGTAAGCAAGGAGAAATAACTCAGAGAGAGAGCAAATGCATTGCACATAGAAGGTGGCAGACTCAGTCTCAGTCCCTGTCATCAGCAGTTAGGAGGATCAGCTAGTAGCAGGCAATGTGAAATAACTCTTTTCTTCCTGAGACCCTGCAGAGCTGATGTCAGTCAGAGTGGACAAACAGACAGACAAATAGTCTGACTTGGTTTAAGGGTGTTTCCTATGCAGGCAGATAAAAGTGAGCAACCCATAGAAACAAAATCTACATGCCAGTCAATGCGCCTGGCTGGTTGGTGGTTTGAGCCCACCTAGGGAAGGATTCCTACATTGTAGGGAGCTGGGCTAGATGATTCTCAGGGTCTCTTCAGATTCAATAATAATAATAATAATAATAATAATAATAATAATAATAATAAATTATTATTTATACCCCACCCACCTGGCTGGGTTTCCCCAGCCACTCTGGGCGGCTTCCAACAAACTATTAAAAATACAATAAAACATCAAACATTAAAAACTTCGCTGAACAGGGCTGCCTTCAGGTGTCTTCTAAAAGTCAGATAGTTGTTTATTTCCTTGACATCTGAAGGGAGGGCGTTCCACAGGGCTGCCTCGTTCCTACTGAGTCTAAGACTGTAGAAGTTAACACTTTAAAAAATCTATTGCAGAAGGTTTTGCAACTGAATTATTTGCACATCTTTATAATATGTTTGTTCCTATTGGGATTGCTCCTAACATCTTATAGGAAAGCAAACCTAGATCCGGTTTGCACTGAGCATTAGGGGTGGGGGTGGGGAAAAGATCCTTTCTGATCCTGGTATGCCACGTTGAGATGGCCATAGTTTGGCCTCCACCAGATCTATCCGTAGGCAGAAAGGAATCATGATGGGAGCAGTGCAAAACTACCTCCAGCTGTTAAGGCTGCCAGGGCTTCTATGCACTTGAGAGAAACCAGTGTGGCTCATTTTAAGGTAGTGCCTGTTAAGCTTGGCATGTGCAAGAACTTTCATTGGGCCACAACACAACAAACTGCAACGAGGACCATTTAGCCAAAGCCTTCAGCTCTCTCTATTTTCAGCGAAAGTGGTAGACACATATGCAAGGATTAGCACTAGCGTAACTCAACTTCCACTCCTTTCCTCCCCCTGTATACACCCACACAGCCCCCAGCATCTGCTTTGGAGAAACCCCCAGAATAGCCCCAGGGGGCATGTGGGGGGAGGAGAGAAGGAGGGAGGACTTTCCAACACACAAGGAGAAATCTTTGCATTGATGGACTGTTCTCTTTGCCACTGTGTTGAACACCAGGCTCTCCCAATAGCTCAGTCGATAAAGCATGATACTCTTGATTTTGGGGTCTTGGATTTGAGCCCCACGTTGGGCAAAAGTTTCCTGTATTGCAGGGGCTAGATGATCCTCATGCTCCCTTTCAACTGTACAATTCTATGATTCTATGATTAAGGAGGAGGCGGCGGTGGCAGGGAGTTACCACCCCTTCCAGGACAAAACAACACCTGGGAATATTTGAAGGATATCTATTTCAGTAAAAATGCAAAGAACCCTTTGGCATTTTAAAGATGAATGCATTCAATTTTGTGAGGAAGACTTTTCTGCTTTAGACGTCTTTTTGCTTAATTTCCAAGCATCTGCCGTCTCAGCAGCGTTCTGTTAAAAGAATCAATACAGGGCTTTCTATCCCTGCAAACAGGTGATTTTTAACACAAATTTATTTTGGTGTTTATCCCAGGATCCATCATTTTTCACAGGATTATCTCTGGATTTCTCATCCTCGAAAATGTAAAAGGTAGAAATTACTTCATCTGCTGCAGGATGGGGAGGGATGGTTGGTGATAACTTAAGTTACTGCGGCTACGATGCAGTGTATCTATGCCAGCTCATTTTCTTTGCAGTGAAAGCCTGCTTTTCATCATGTTGTCCCTTTCCTAAAGTTATCCATAACCACAGCAGCTTTTAAATTATTGTAAAATAAGGTTTTACAAAGCCCAGTCTGGGACGCTAGTTCTCCTGCACTGCACAGAGCTTACTTGAACTTATGGGGACAGGCTAGTGCAATTCCAGCCATGTCACTGTGTTTGTATACTCCATATTTTTATGAAACATTCAAAGCACTTTTGCTATTTGTTGGCAGCAAAAGTGGGACTATGCTGGTGATTTTCTGGGAGGGCTTCTCCTAGTGGCAGTAGTGGCAGTCCTCCAGCTGGCGGGTAACCCCCACCCCTGATTTTAAAGTGCCTTGTTCAGCAGCTTCCTGTTTTCACCATTTTCAATTTTGTATAATACACATATGTAAGTAAGTAAAAAAAAAGAAAGTGATAAAAATGTTTCTTCTTTTTTAAATAGGAACACTTGGTCCACAGCAACAGCCCCCTGCTGCATATTGGATTCTTCTGGAATCGAAAGGTACATTTTGGACCATATCTGCAGCATTAGCAAATCATATGCTAAATCAACTGAATAGTGCACATAGCACCATGGAGTGGTGCCTGACACTGAACAGACACCAACACAGCAATTGCACCTGCTATAAATCAGTATATAAAGTCCATGCAACCATATACAAGTGACCTCATGGCACAGAGTAGATTGCTGTAGATTAGTAGAGCATTGGCTTGAATTTGAATAAATTTTTATTGATTTTCCAAACACATAATAAAAACAAACAATACACAAAACAAAAACATACAAACATATAAACATGTATAATTTCATAATCTTATTTATTTAATTCACTTTCATTAGATTCTTTTTTCTTTAACTTATTGATTACAGCTGCAATTCTCTATTTCTTAGTTCCTTAACATCTTAACACTCCTCAATTTTACAGCAATTTTTAAGATATATTTTAAATTTCTTCCAGTCTTCTTCCACTGTCTCTTTCCCCTGGTCGCGGATTCTGCCGGTCATCTCTGCCAGTCCCATATAGTCAATCACCTTCGTCTGCCATTCTTCCAGAGTGGGTAGTTCTTGTGTCTTCCAATACTTTGCCAGAAGAATTCTTGCTGCTGTAGTGGCATACATGAAAAACGTCCTATCCTTCCTTGACACCAATTGGCCAACCATGCCCAGGAGAAAAGCCTCAGGTTTCTTAGGAATGGTCCACTTAAGGACTTTCTTGATTTCATTATAGATCATTTCCCAAAAGGCTTTAATCTTCGGGCAGGTCCACCAAAGGTGATAAAAGGTACCTTCAGTCTCATTACATTTCCAGCATTTATTATTGGGCGAATGGTAAATTTTTGCAAGCTTGCCACAGAGCCAGCTGCAAAAATCCATTGACTAAGCAGCATTTAAAATTTAAATATTAAACCATAACAAAACCAGGACAGGATCGCCAGATTAGGATTCTCAGTCTCAAGTTGCCAGATACTGAGATGAAGTAAGTACAGTGGTACCTCGGGTTACATACGCTTCAGGTTACATACACATCAGGCTACAGACTCCGCTAACCCAGAAATAGTACCTTGGGTTAAGAACTTTGCTTCAGGATGAGAACAGAAATTGTGCGGCAACAGCGGGGAGCCCCATTAAGTGGTGCTTCAGGTTAAGAACAGTTTCAGGTTAAGAACGGACCTCCAGAACAAATTAAGTACTTAACCTGAGGTACCACTGTACTACTTTTCCTGTCAATTGGAGGAGACTTTTCCTGGCCTCTTGCCATATTGACAGGCACTCCATGCGACATTATTTGGACACATGCCTGCTAACTTGCTAGTAGCGTTGAGTGCAGCCATGGTCCACCATTGTCACTGGCTCATGCTGGGTAAAGCAGGATGGTCCGATTCATCTGCCACTGTGACTCAACTGCCAGGACCATCATAGAATCGTGGAGTTGGAAGGGACCCCAAGGGTCACCTTGTCGAACCCCCTACAATGCAGGAGTCTCATCTAAAGCATCCATGACAGATAACCACCCAACCTCTGCTTAAAAACAACCAGTGAAGGAGAGTCCACCACCCTGTGAGGCCTTGTGTGGATCCCAGACACCCTCAATTGCTGCTCGTTGCTTGGTCATCTACTACTCTCTATCTTATCACTATGAATTAATCAAAAGCTGACATTTATTCAGAGGGAACCAAGGCAGTATAAAATAGAGATGATCCGAAAATATTGCATAGAGCTGATCATTGTTCCCTTTTCGGATGAAAGTCATTGCACTAGTTAGTACTGCTTCTGCATGTTTGGCGTAACTATTTGCTGGTTGTCCACACCTTCCTAAGTTCTTGTCAATAAGACCTCTTCTGAATGAAAGAGGGCACCATTTCTGCCCTTGAAACACACTTTTTATTTTCCTAGGTTTCTTTACTGGGCATGAGGAAGACACGGACTTCAATGGCAGTGGCATAGTCTGTGAAGAAGGATACAGGGTTGTATCTAGGAAAAAGATTTATATGTGTATAACACTGTGATGCCAGATGGCGGTGTGGAGTCCCATCTTTCATCAATGTGATTTCCCTTTATGAAGTTTACAACACGTTTGACTGAAACACTTCTTTGATGTGTCTTGATCCAGCCTATGTTAAAGCTACTGTTCTGAATTTTGCCCCGTGCTCTGTTTATGTATCACAAACTGCTGCAAACATTAAATAATGGACTTTTTTATTTTCCAGAAAAATGAAAAAAGCACTGCTTCAGGAAAACAACAGAAGGTGGAAGAGCCATAATCCAGTACCGTGTTTTGGTATCTATCTCCCATGTCCAAAATACAACAGAATGAAACTGGACAGACTGCAGGAATGTTTCAGATCCAGACAAATATTCCTTGTTTGATTGCCTTATCCTTTTTTTAAAAAAAAGATTATTTTGCATTTTTGTAGATGTAACATAGAAGAAGACACTCCCTTTCCACCACAAGAGTACCTCCAGAAAGTCAAGATGCTCCCATCTTTTTGATGTACCAGGATTCCAGAACCATGCAGATGCTGAACTCCAAGACATTTCCTATTGCTATTAGCATTTTCTCTCTGTAACCTAAAAAGCTAATATCTTTTTTAGATCTCTAAAATTCCTCTTGCACATTCTATTTTTTGATGGGACAGTGTGTGCTCTTAACAAAGCAATGGATTGAAAAAACACAGCAGAGAACACATCACTATTATTGGAGCTGCTCAGTAGTGCCTTGGCAGCAGCACACTATTGGCAATAACTCTCTCTCTCTCTCTCTCTCTCTCTCTCTCTCTCTCTCTCACACACACACACACACACACACGTGGTGATCCTTGAGTGTGTGCTTGGGTTGTTGAATTGTGTGATAAATGAAAACTGTGAATGGATATATTGGACTGCATCGGGGCTTTGCATGGATGGACTTTAGAGGTCAATCCCCTTGATCTAATGAGCGATTTATCTAACTCTTTTCCAGTGCCAGTTTGGTGTTATCCAGGACCAGTACACACGTGGGTAATCTGCTTGGAAACTGGCCCTTTTCATTCCAGGATTCCAATGTGCTTTGATTCCAGTGAATGTGAATGGATTATTAGGAGCACCAACTAATTATATATTCCACTTTCCAAATCATACTGGTCCGCCTTCTGAGATGAATATAAGGATAACTAAGAGAAACCAATGGGAGAACAAGGAGACACAGTCCTATCCCCTCTAGCCAGTTTATGGCAATATGTGATTACCAATGAGGGCAGGCATGGGGAACCTGTAGCCCTCCAGATGTTGCTGGACTACAACTCCCATAATCCCTGAGCATTTAAACCCCTAAATGGCCTCGATCCAGTATACCTGAAGGAGCGTCTCCACCCCCATCGTTCTGCCCGGACACTGAGGTCCAGCGCCGAGGGCCTTCTGGCGGTTCCCTCACTGCGAGAAGCCAAGTTACAGGAAACCAGGCAAAGGGCCTTCTCGGTAGTGGCACCCGCCCCGTGGAACGCCCTCCCACCAGATGTCAAAGAGAACAACTACCAGACTTTCAGAAGACATCTGAAGGCAGCCCTATTTAGGGAAGCTTTTAATGTTTAACAGACTATTGTATTTTAATATTTTGTTGGAAGCCGCCCAGAGTGGCTGGGGAAACCCAGCCAGGTGGGCGGGGTATAAATAATAAATTATTATAATATTATTATTGGCCATAGTCCAACAGCATATGGAGGGCAACAAGTTCCTCCTTCCTGCATTAGGAGTACCTGTATCTCAAACTGTATTGCACAGTAGTTGCTATGCATTATTAATACAGCATGAAAAAGAAAATAAATCACAAGAAATGAATTTAACATATTTTGGTGTTTTTTCTCCCCTGCCTTGCCCTTCCTGCTGACCTCAGAAATGGCACCCCAACTTCACTCACAATAACCGTAAGCTTTTGCACATGGTTTACTACTAAAAGCTTAGCCTTGGGGAAGTTTATTAATTTGGAATTAACAGTTTTCAGGTCATATTTGCCAATGCCATGACCTGCAGGTTCTTTAAAGCAAATACCAATTTCAAAAGGACAACATTGGAGCTGCTATTTTTAGCTTAAATACATGGCTATGAATTTAAAATGCAATTTGAGTTACTGTATTTTTCGCTCCATAGGACACCCTTTTTTCCTCCTAAAAAGTAAGGGGAAATGTCTGTGTGTCTTTTGGAGCGAATGTGTGGTCCTTGGAGCCAAATCGCTGTTGCCCCGCCCTCCTGGGCTGCTCTTTGGGGGTGGGGGGAGGAGCCACAGTGCTCTGCTGGCAGCCTCCACTTTCCCCTGAAGCCCCAGCAAGGTTTGCAAGCAGCGGGAAGGCTGTGTGCTCCTGGGCTGCTCTTGGGGGGGGGGGGAGCCACACTGATTTGCCTTCAGCTTCTGCTTTCCCCTGAAGCCCTGGCAAGGTTTGCAAGCAGCAGGAAGGCTGTGTGCTCCTGGGCTGCTCTTTGGGGGTGGGGTGGGGGAGCAGCAAATTGCCGCCTCTCAGTACCTCCTAATTCAACTGCAAATGCTTGATTGCCTAACTGGATTCTGAGCTCCATTTGAAGTTTAAAAATACTAAGTTTGGGGATTTCTTCAAGCAGCAGTTTTGCGGAAATAGTCATAAATACATGCAAAGCATCTCCACAAACCAGTGAGCTCAGCTAAAACCGAGCAGGCATCTGGCATAGTAACAGTTTAAACTGCAGAACTATAACCGGACATCCTGTGTGTTTGTGTGTGGACCATGTTCCTAGCAGCTAATATTTATTGCAGAAAAGAGGCACTGATATTCCACTCCAAATCTATAATCCATTATACAAATTCTTACAAGTACAGTCCGCCTATACCAAACCAAAAGCATTGTGTTCTGTTGGTATTGAATGGAAGCTATTTATCTGCCCTCTTTTCCTCCTCTGTTCTTTGCTCAGTCACTCCATTTCCCACTCTTTGAATCTTGCTTTCAAAACAACCATGCCTGCTTTGAGAAAACTTCACAGATTTAGGAACTGGAGCGCAATCATTCGATTTCTTTGCTTTTCCTTCATACTCCGAGCACTTCTCATTTGCACAGCCCTGCTTTCTCTCCCTGACTATTACCATTCTTGATTAATAACAGTAAAATGCTCAAATTTTAGTTTATGCGACGGCTGCCAATACTGACTTCCCAGTGATAATGAAAACAGCTACATTGTAATGGAATGTCTATCCTTTTTCCATTCTCTTCATTATATATTCTGCCTCACTTTAAAGCAGCAAAGCGGACAGGAGCCACCCCCTTTGTTGTTTTAAATAGTTTACTACAACATTTGAGTCAGAATTTGTTTTTTCTTGTTTTCCTGCTCTAAAAACTAGGTGCGTCTTATGGAGCGAAAAATACAGTAAGTTGCTGTTGCTTAAAGGTACAATTATTTGACAGTACCTTTGCCAGTCCAGGAGCCTCTAAATAACTTTTTTTAAAGCACTAAATTCCAATTTCAATAGAATTGAAGCTCAAAAACATACACTCCTGATTTAAACAAAATTTATAAACAAACAAACAACAATGATGAAAATCTTAGTGCACGACAACTTTAGAATGCCACACAGCTCTCAAAACAATATACTGAGACTTTAGTTATCTATTTAGCCAAGTTGTGCTCAGTGCCACAGTGTTGCCCAAGTGCCACTATGATGCTGTGCCAAGCTAGCCCAAGACATTTTGCTGCCTGAGGTGGAAGACAAGAACACACCCTATTCTCCATTTAATGCACATAATTCAATAAGACGGGCACTTTTATTTCAACACTGGGGATGGGGCAATGCCCTCCACCATATTTGAGGGCAGCAGGCTAGTTTAGGGGTCACAGGGCAGGCAGTGTGGCATCCAGAGCTACGCCCCTTAAACCCTCACTGCCACAATAATTGCTAGTAACCCTTCTGGTTTCTTAGGGAGGGGGAAACCCATCAGTAACTAAAGTGGTCACAGTGCAGTGTGCATACAGAAATTGTTCCTCATTTCACACTCCAGTTAGATAAACAAGGAAGTTGTTCTTAATTGTAGAAATGGGGCTCGGGAACTCGCTCCCGAGTTAACTCGCTGCAGTTAATAGGGTCTTGGACAGGAGAATTCAAACCCCCAATCTGCCATTTTGGAGCGGGGAGGTTGCATCCTTGCTGGCACTAGCCAATAAAACCCCCAAAACATGGTGCTTGAGGCAGGGAAGGGGTTAGGGATAGGGGAGAAACTTGAATTAGTTTGCATTTGTAGCCAAATCTATCAATTCTACACTTTCTGAAACAATATGCAAACTGAAACACAGCTATCCTTCAGAATTTTGCAAAAATAGCAATAGTGTTTACAAAAATAGCAATAGGAATGGGGTGGTCTACACCACTGAGCCTCTTGGGCTTGCTGATCGTAAGGTCAGCAGTTCAAATCCCCCCGATGGGTGAGTTCCCATTGCTCTGTTCCAGTTTCTGCCAGCCTAGCAGTTTGAAAGCATACCATTGTGAGTAGATAAATAGGTACCATTGTGGCGGGAAGGTAAACAGTGTTTCCATGCTCTCTAGCTTCCATCATGGTGTCCTCTTGCACCAGAAGCGCTTTAGTCATGTTGGCCACATGACCCGGAAAGCTGTCTGTGGACAAACACTGGCTCCCTTGGTCTGAAAGTGGAGATAAGTGTCACACCCCATAGTTGGATTTGACTGGACTTAACTGTCCAGGTGTCCTTTACCCTTTTTTTTTTAACCTTTACAAAAATGCATAATTATTAAGGAAAATAATACAGAGGATTGCTGTGGGAAATAAAGAAGGCAGTGTTTAAAGGCATATGTATTTAAGAAAAATGAAGACTCATTAAAATATAGAGGTCACCAAAGACACAGAACTGGAAGTCTCCTTCGTGGAACAAAGGCACAGGACAACAAGTTCAAAACACAAAAAAGCATAATTTAGGGGAAAGTGTGCATGAAAATGAAGATACTAGTGAAAATATCATATGAAAAATACATTATATTAAGAAAATTGCTTGCAAAAATGTGAAAATTAGGCAAAAACTGCCTCTACAAATGTGTTTATTAGGTGAAATTCACACTAAAATGCTGGTGAATTTTCAGAACAATTTTTTAAAACCGCAAATTGCTGCAAAATGTGGAGAGCCAAATGAAGATTGTAAGAATGAGAAATAGAGAGAACTGAAATTGACACGTCCTTCCATCCCTAGTGGGCCCTCTGCTAGATCCCATGCCAACTGCTGCTGGGACCAAGAAACAGAGTAATGTGGAAAGTAGAGTCCACCCAGGTTTGGTATTTAGGCCTGTGTTTTTTAACTTATTCAGAAGATTAGTGAATGGTGGCTCAGGGGAGGGCATTCTCTCCCTATGTTGTGGAACTCTCCATAGAAGTGTGCCTGGTGCCTTCATTATATAGCCTTTGGCAAACGCTGAAGATGTGCCTCTTTAATCTTCCCTTTGACATATTTTTTGGACCCACTTTATTTCTGTGAATCTAAGTTGTTTAAAACTATTTTTAAGATTGTGTTTTAATTGTTGTAACCTGCTCTGGGACCTTAGAGTAAAGGGTAGGTTATTATTACTACAGTGGTACCTTGGGTTACATACATTTCAGGTTACATACACTTCAGGTTACAGACTCCGCTAACCCAGAAATAGTGCTTCAGGTTAAGAACTTTGCTTCAGGATGAGAACAGAAATCGTGCTCTGGCGGCGCGGCGGCAGCAGGAGGCCCCATTAGCTAAAGTGGTGCTTCAGGTTAAGAACAGTTTCAGGTTAAGAACGGACCTCCGGAACGAATTAGGTTCTTAACCCGAGGTACCACTATACTATTATTGTTGATAATAAATGAATGAATAATGGTATAGAATTATGGAGTGAGGTGGTGAAGTTGCTGATGATACCAAATGGTTCAGTGTGGTTTTTGTGAAAAGCTCCAAAAGATTCTCTCCTGATGGGATGAACAGTCAGTAAAATGGCAAATGCAGCTCAGTGTAAGCAAGTATAAAATCATGTGCCCTGGGGCAAAATTTTTGAAATTTTGCATATACTCTCAACTGACCAGGAAAGAGATCTTGGGGTCAAAGTGGGGACTGAACCTGAATACTACTTATGGGAACTGTTCTAAACTTGTGGTTTCAGCATTTCTTAGTTCCTTTTTGCTTTAACTTCTAGTCACAAGCATAAACAAAACATTCATTACCTCAGTGCCAACAAGACCATGAGGACCACACTCAGCTGCCTTCTTCTGGGTGAGTAGGAAATTGATAGGCTAAGACATTCAACATAGGCAAGGAGAAATAGCTCAGAGGCAGAGCAAATGCATTGCATGTAGAAAGTTCTTGATTCAGGCTGCATATGCCCCATATATTTAAAGGAATATTTAAAACACATCCGCCCCCAAATGGTTCTGGGCATGGTAGTTTATGCTACAATTCTCAGCACCACCAAGAAGCAAAAGTTCTCAGGATTCTTTTCTTCCTCCCTCTCTCTCTTTTTGCAAGGCGATGTGCTGTAAGTGTGTTATAAATGCATGGTAGTATGTATGTACAGTTAGACAGGTAAGATACTAGCGGGTGATGTGAAATACCCCTGTTTTCATTGGAGAAATGTCAGAGGTTGTGCTGTTAGGACTGGCTTGTGCAGGAACTTTCAAGTTTCATTGTGATGCTGTAGAATGAACTGCTGTCAAAACCATTTAGCCAAAGCCTCCATCACACCCCATTTCCAACTCAAGTGGCAGACCCTGATATTCTGGGTGGTATTCAACTAAATAAAAGCACTACTAGAAGGGTGAGCAGGGGACGCCAGTGGCGCTGCGGGTTAAACCACAGAGCCTAGGACTTGCCGATCAGAATGTTGGTGGTTCGAATCCCCACAACGGGGTGAGCTTCCGTTGCTCGGTCCCTGCTCCTGCCAACCTAGCGGTTCGAAAGCACGTCAAAGTGCAAGTAGATAAATAGGTACCGCTCCGGTGGGAAGGTAAATGATGTTTCTGTGCGCTGCTCTGGTTCGCCAGAAGTGGCTTAGTCATGCTGGAGCTGTACGCCGGCTCCCTTGGCCAATAAAGCGAGATGAGCACTGCAACTCCAGAGTCGTCTGCGACTGGACCTAATGGTCAGGGATCCCTTTACCTTTACCTTTACCTTACAAGGGTGAGCACTAATGCAATTGGACCTCCCCCCTCCTACCCCTGTATGCACTGCACACTGTCCCCCAACTCTGCTTTGGAGGGTTGGCGAAACCTACAGAAAAGACTTAGGGGGAATGGGAGGGGAGGGGGGAACATTCTGCTGCATTGGAAGAAACCCTTGCTTTGACAGAATATTGTCCTTGGTGCTATGCTGAATACAACCCTTTGTAATTATGATTAAGATGGAAGCAGGGAGAGGAAAGGGACAGACACAAGCCTGGAACAACCAAAAAACATTAGAGGAAATCCGTTTCTGCAAAATGTGAAGAAGTCTCCGGCATTTTAAAGATGAATGTACAGAATTTTATAAGGAAGAACTCTCTGCTTTAGACATTTGCTGCCTCAGCTATGTTTCTTTTTTTAAATAAAACTCAGCATGGGGCTTTCTATCCCGGCAAACAGCTGTTTTTAACACCATTTTTAAAATATTGGTCCTAGGATTTGTTATTTGTCAAGGGATTTGTCTTGGATTTGCCGTTGTGCACAACGATGAAAGAGGTAAAAAATTATTTTCTCTTGGATAATATTTGGAAAAATGTGGGAGCAATTATTGATTCAATTTTTACCATTGTTTACTATTATTTTAATGTTGTTGAAGAGGGCAATGTTCTTGGCCCCTACTGCTTCCAGGTATCCATCTATTTAAGAAATGTATTTAATCAAATGATCTATCAGCACAAGTGATGGTCTTGCAAAAGAGTACAAATTTTGGGAAAAGGTGATGAAAGAAATTTCTGAATAATAGACCCCAATCTGTGTTTTTAAAATATTTTTTATGGGTCAAATATAGTCTTAATATATAAATATATTTTTTTAATTAGTAGCTGCTTGTTTGACCATAACATAGGAACTGAAAGTAATGTCAAACTGCACATGCATTGTCCTCTGTACCAGACTTTGGAATGAAAATAAAAGGGTGGAGAATTTCTGATGCATGGGTTTCACTTCAGAAGATGGCTAGCTAATTTGCAATTGCAAGATCCTAACAGAAAGTGAGATGGGGAGAATTAATATAGGCAGCAGTCAGCTCCTTAGCTGAAGCCCAGGGACAAAGGTTAATCCCCCTTTCTTTCCTTTATCTGCTGAATAGTCCATAGCGTTTATATGATGTGCACATCCTATCCTCAAATGCACTAGAAAATACTTCCATGTAAACATATCTTGTTCGTGGGACTCTGCTTCTTTAAAAAATGTTAACAATTTCTGCTTCTTTGTAGGATCAGGTGGTCCACGACAATGGCGATTAGATGAAATTTTGAAGCCTTATGATATAGGTATGTTTTGGACCATGTCTGCATCGTTAGCACCTGTAAATCCCATGCTGGAGCAATTGAAAGAAAGGGTCACAATGCACATTGCTCCATGGAGCCTGACACGGAACAACACAGCATTTGCACTTGTTATAAATCAGGGTGTAAATGTTATACAAAGCATGTACAAACAACCCCACCACACAGTAGAATTTGCCAAAAACATGTAGACCATTGGCATGCATTTGATTGTCACAGTATGTACGCATTAAACCATGACAGAATCAACTTTAAAGTTAATACAACAGCCTAAAGGATAGTGACCTGGGTGGCAGTGCAAGCCTTGCCTCACCTTGGATCAGACTGATTTAACTGACCAATTGTGTCGCAAATAACTTGGTTCTGCCCCCTCCCCCAACATAAAGCTTTTCCCTCTAATATTAAGCCTGCCCCCCCCCCAAATCCTGGCTATGCCCTTGGCTGCCACCATGTTATGCTTGCTGGTATAATGATGCAGAGCCCTGACCCTCTCAGAGACAATCAAGCCAGTATAAAATGGAGAGGGTTTGAAAATATTGCATAGCTAGCTGGTGGCAGTTCTTTCTAAAAGTATTTTGCATGAAAATCAGTGAGCTCATACTGTTTATATAATTGTGCTAGTTAGTATTGCTAAGTAATGCTGCTTATATACTTGCACATTAAATATTTGCTCCTTGTCCACTTCTTCCTCTGGTGGCGCTGTGGTCTAAACCACAGAGTCTAGGACTTGCCGATCAGAAAGTCGGTGGTTCAAATCCCTGTGACAGGGTGAGCTCCCATTACTCTGTCCCTGCTCCTGCCAACCTAGCACTTCGAAAGCACGTCAAAGTGCAAGTAGATAAAAATGTACCGCACCAGCAGGAAGGTAAACAGCGTTTCCGTGCACTGCTCTGGTTTCTCCAGAAGTGGCTTAGTCATGCTGGCCACATGACCCAGAAAAACTGTCTGCGGACAAACGTCGGCTCCCTTGGTCAGTAAAGTGAGATGAGCGCCGCAACCCCAGAGTCGTCCGCGACTGGGCTTAATGGGCAGGGGTCACCTTTACCCACTTCTTCCTAAGACCAACCAGTTCTTCTCTGCCCTCGGTGCAGGAGGGCACAGCTTGCCTGTGGAATACCATTTTTATGTTTTCTTCTGTTTAGTTTATGTGGATGATGAAGGCAGCACTACCATTGACAATGGCACATCCGTAGACTGTGGTCCTAATTCTGTTTCATATAATAAATCCAGCTGTGTCTGTGAAGAAGGATACAGGGAAACGACAACTTTGGGAACCAATCAAACCAGTTGTGAGAGTAAGTGTGTTAATTCTCAGATCCTTTAAATGGCATCTACTTGAGCTGCAGTGATGAATGGAAATTTGATATTCAGCCATTGCTAATGTCATAACCAATGGCAATACTTCATTACTGTTCTTCAATTCTAAACTGTTTCTCGGAGGGTTTTAATTGTCATTGTTTCAATTGGCTTCTTTATTGTATGTTTTAATAAATGACGTTTCATTCCTCTCTTATTGAATTGCTATTGTGTATTATAATCACAAATGAATGTCCTAATTGATTCTATAGTTGTAAACTGCTTACAAGCCATTCTGGAATGCATGAAGTATATAAGTTAATAAATAACACTGGGGTTTTAGCCATCCCAAAGGGTAGAAAGTATTTCTTTATTATCAATAAAATCCTAATTCTGTAGGTGAAAAGATGGTGCAGCTGTCAGGATCAGAAGCCGAAGCTCTTTAGGCACAGATATCAGCAGAGGATTGCTGCAAAACCTGGTGGGTTGAGGTTGGGAGCTACAATATATTCTTCACACATAGCAGTCTTTTCTTACACATATAAGCTTAAATGATTATTATACAAAAGCAATCCATGCTAAAAGTCTTTAGTATTTAGAAACCTGAACTCATTTAGACCCCAGTTCAATACATTCAGAAATAACTAGAAGATACAATTTTTGATCAGAAAAAATGGTGACACAATCTGTCATCTCCACACACATAACAAGCACACAAATCGTACAAGTTTACATGGAGCCCATGCATTGCACGTTAGTTGTAAATTATGTTTTCTTTACAGAAATTCCCTACCACTGCCAACCAGATATTGTAAGACAAAATGATGGTCTAGGGGTGTGTTTCAATGCAACAAAACCAGAGGTATGTGTGTTGTGATATGTGTGAAATTAACACAGTTCTGTAAATCTGATATGCTTAACCTTACTGGGTTGGTTGGTATGCTAACACTGTCAATGTTTTTTCTCTGAAATGCAAATGGTGATTCTCCCCACTAGAACAGTAGTGCTAAATGCAAATTAGATGTTTTGATTGTTAGCTAACTCACTCTCATTCTCCAAATCTGTTGAAAATTGAGGGAACTGGAGGGAAAGAGGAAATTGGACAAGGAAAATGCTTGATTCATGTTCTACTCACTCCTTTACTTTATGGATAAAGGACATTTAAAAAATGTTGAAGTGATTCCTTCCCAGCTTCTGGAAATTTGTTTCTTCAGTTGGGCGGGTGGGTGGGGAAAACCATTTTCAACTGATTAGAAAAATAATTATTGGAACACATAATGAAAATCCTGTGCTAAGCATGTGTGGGAGGCAACCTGCTTATGATTTCTATATGCGGAGCTAATTACTCTATATATCCTCGATATTCATATGTATATAGTATATAGTATATATTTTGTATTGCTCATTGTTTTAAAGTTTACTGGTTGTAAAATGCTCTTTGAGACTTTTATGTTCGTCACTAACAAATGTAATAAAAATTATTATTATTATGTTCCAGACCTCACTCTGATGTTAAAGACAGGGTGTGTTAAGAAAGGGGTTGGGGGAGGGTTGTGAAAGAACCACTGTTTTTGTGAAGAGCTGCTGGAAGGAAAGGGAGGAAACTGAAATAGGTCTTATCTGCCCAACATCTCTGTGAAGTAAGTTTGGCTGAGAGATAATGGGCAGATCCACCCCATACATTTACAACATATTCAATGGACAATAATCAACACGACTTCCTTCACAAAATCCTGAGAACTGTAGTTTGTTCAGAATTCTGCAAATTGTAGCCCTGGGAGGGGGGAACTACAGTTCCTAGAATTCTTTGGGGGAAGTAATTTGCCTTAAATGCACAACTGATTTGCTCAACAACATGGCCAAAGCTCTCCTAGTGAGCGTCATAGCTAAGAGGGGATTTGAATCTGGGTGTCTCTAATCCTAGTGCAACCATTATAACCACTATTTGGCCCAGCAAAATATTTTCTGCTCATGTCTGGGGCAATATCAGACCATTTGACTTAACCCAGCCTATACTACTTTTTTGGAGTATTTCATTGTATTTCCTTGTCAGCTGATCTCTGCCAACACACATTTCTTCTCTTCTCTTAGAATTACTTCAGTCATAACAACAGTTTATACTGCTCAGTGGTAGGGACAGCCTTCAATGCTTTTTTATCCTTCTGTGAAAATGGCAGTGTGATACCAACTTCCTTGCAGGTAAGGCTTCCCAAGAACTGAGGCAACATTTGGCCACAGCATCTCCTTCCTGAGAAGTTCTGTGCCTTCCTGTTTGCAAGACTGTGTGGTTTCCTACTGTGGTCAGTGAAAGATGGGTGGATCTATGACAGTTTACACAGACAAGGCTTTCAATGTTCAAAACTGTTTAATTTCAAACAAATAAAAATATTGAGATCATGTGGCCCTTCAGATGTTATTGGACTAGAACTCCTATCATCCTTACCCATTATCCATGGGAGAAGAATATAGAAAGAAAGATAATATTTTTTGGTCTTGAAGTGGTCTATGTAGTTGATATTAAATTGTAAATTTTGTTTTTGTTTCACAATTAAAGAACAGACAGACAGGTAGATATTTTCTTTTGCTCTAGGATAATGTACACCCATTGAGCCGTACAAAATCTACTGTGCTATGTACATATTCTGAGAATTCATTCATTTATTTATTGAATTTTTATACCGCCCTATACCTGGAGGTTTCAGGGCGGTTCACAAAAAAGATCACAATATATGAAAATAAAAACAATAATCCAATAACACTCCCCTCCCCAAAAAGTCACATTTTAAATTTCAGCCAAATTTCAGCCAAAGGCCTGGTTAAAAAGTAATGTTTTTGCCTGGTGCCTAAATTTCAGCCAAATTTCAGCCAAAGGCCTGGTTAAAAAGGAATGTTTTTGCCTGGTGCCTAAAAGTGTATAATTAAGGCACCAGGTGAACTTTCCTGAGGAGAGCATTCCACAAACGAGGAGCCACTGCAGAGAAGGCCTGTTCTCATGTGGCTACCCTCCTGCCTCTCTTGAAGAACTGATTGTAAGAAGGCAAGCAAGGTTTTGAATTGTCATGTGGTTTCTTGGCTTCTTGTAATGCTGCAGGACACAGTGGGCTCCGTTGACAAACTTCTTGTCAGCAGTTCGCTACAGAGTATTGAAACAAATGAGGAGCGTGTATCAGCTGTGACATTGGTTTTGGACGGACTGGCCTCAGCTGCAGTTGCAAAAGCTATTGCATCTCCAGAACACCAATCTCAGACTGTGGTTACTAACTCAATAGGTAAGGAGAATTGTCTGTGGAGTTTTCTTGGCAGGGATACTGGAATGGCTTGTCGTTTCCTGCTCCAGGTGGATCACGTTTAGTCAAAACTCTCCACTATGACCTGTCCATCTTGGGTGGCCCTGTACGGCATAGCTCATAGTTTCTCTGAGTTGTTCAAGCCCCTTCGCCACGACAAGCCAATGATCCAACTACCACACAATTGCGCTCATTTCACATGCTAGCAAGGTTATGCTTAAAATTCTACAAGGTAGGCTTAAGCAGTATGTGGACCGAGAACTCCCAGAATTGCAAGCTGGATTTCGAAGGGGCAGAGGAACCAGAGACCAAATTGCAAACATGTGTTGGATTATGGAGGAAGCTAGAGAGTTCCAGAAAAACATCTACTTCTGTTTCATTGACTATGCAAAAGCCTTTGACTGTGTCGACCACAGCAAACTATGGCAAGTTCTTAAAGAAATGGGAGTGCCTGATCACCTCATCTGTCTCCTGGAAGAGAATTCTGTTTGGAAGAGAATTCTGTTTGGTCTGCACTTTAAACAGGACATACATGATTTGCAATTAACAGACTTATACATTGAGTGGAACACAGTTGAAAACTCCCCTGCATACAAAGGGGGTTGGGGATGAGTACAAAATGTGTATATTAGGAGAAAATGGATGAAACTACACAAACATTTTTCTTCTTCAAAAAAAAGTGCAGTAAATGGGATGGAACAGACTTATTATTGAATGCACGTGAAACCGACTTTAATGGAAATAAGCTGATCCATACACCCCTAGTCATTTATAGTGATGGGTGAGCTCTCAATGGCTAGATCGGGAATGAGCTAGGCTTTTTGTGAACTTTCATGGTTAGTGTTTGGAAAAGTCAGTATTTCATGGTTTGTGTTTCATGACATGTGTGCTCCTGCCTTCATGTATGTTGTTGCAGTCCCTTCTGGGATTTGCTTTTTCATTGTCCCACGAACACATAGTTAGTCATCATGATGTGTATCTAAGAACCCATATCCCTTCTTTGCTCATTGTAGTGATCCAAACCCACATAATCAGTGAAGAGGTTATTTCAAAAAATGAAGCTCTGCATTTAGAGGCTCAGGAAGACCAAATGACCATTGATCCCAGAGCAGTGATTGACAGGATCACCCAAGGTATGCTTTCTGCTCATTCCTCAGATAACTCTTGTTCAAGATAAAAAATAACCACTTATCACAGTGCTTCTAAATCCCTTAGAAAAGTACCTTGAATATTCTTTCTTCAGGCACACCAAACTTTTTACTATCTTTACCATGTACTTTTAACTAGTTTCATTGCTGTACAGCATCAATTTGATGCTGTACATCAATTTGACCTGTATTTCTCAGCAGTAAAAAAGTGCAACCTAATTGTCCATATTTGAGAAGGAGGTCCAGTCTTCAGGTACAAACCACTGGCCCTGGCTGGGAAATGAGAATCTGGGACTTGTGGCAGGACAACTAGAAAATATGACTCCCTATCCCTTGTGGCTGGCATCAGGATGTGGTGTCCCTGTGCAGGGACAAACAGTGCATTGTTAAGACAGCAGCATGAGAAATTTATATGTGTGGAATTGCCTAAGGGACAATCAGATTCTTACTCCTGCAACACTCTATTCTACCAAAGAAAAGTACATGTGTGTATACCGAGGCAATCTTTGGTATGTGACATGTATTTTCACTATTCTGTTGTTTTTTTTAAAAGATTTTTATTAAAATTTTCAAAGTATTACAAAAAGAAAAAAGAAAAAGAAAAAATACAAAGTAAAAACAGTTAAAAACAATTCAATCTTTTCATGTCTTATCTTTCATTTGCTTGTTTCCCAGACCTCCTCACACCTCCCTTTTTTGTATCCAGTTCAATTGGTTGGTTCAGCAAATCCTTTCCCTCTTTATTTTTATCCTAATCTTTAATCTTAAATATATTATGACTTTAAATTATTCCCTTATTATCAATCCATTTTTACACATCCTTATAACATTACTGCTGAAAACCACTTAGCTTCAATCCAACATTGTTCTAACATTCATTAATTTTACAATATTTCTGTAAATAATCTTTAAATTTCTTCCAATCTTCTTCAACCAACTCTTCTCCCTGGTCTCGGATTCTGCCAGTCATTTCCGCCAATTCCATATAGTCCATCACCTTCATCTGCCATTCTTCCAGGGTGGGTAGATCTTGTGTCTTCCAATACTTTGCGATAAGTATTCTTACTGCTGTTGTGGCATATATAAAGAAATGTCTATCCTTCTTTGGCACCAATTGGCCGACAATGCCCAGGAGAAAGGCCTCTGGTTTCTTCAGGAAGGTATACTTAAATACCTTTTTCATTTCATTATATATCATCTCCCAGAAAGCCTTAATCCTTGGGCATGTCCACCAAAGGTGAAAGAACGAACCTTCAGTTTCTTTACATTTCCAACATTTATTATCGGGCAAGTGATAGATTTTTGCAAGCTTGACTGGTGTCATGTACCACCTGTATATCATTTTCATAATATTCTCTCTTAAGGCATTACATGCCGTAAACTTCATACCTGTGGTCCATAACTATTCCCAGTCAGCCATCATAATGTTATGTCCAACATCTTGTGCCCACTTAATCATAGCAGATTTCACCGTTTCATCCTGAGTATTCCATTTCAACAGCAAGTTATACATCCTAGACAAAGTCTTATTTTTGGAATCTAACAGTTCTGTTTCCAATTTTGATTTTTCCACCTGGAATCCAATTTTCTTGTCCAAATTGTATGCCTCCATTATTTGATGATAATGAAGCCAATCTCGCACTTTGTTTTTTAGTTTTTCAAAACTCTGCAATTTCAATTTATCTCGTATTTTCACTATTCTGCCTCTGATATTCCTTCTGTCTCTTGCAGGTCCTGTCGCTGTGGCCTTTATGTCATACAGTGGACTGGGATCACTCCTGAGTGGGATTCTTCTGCAGGATGAGACTCAGCAGAGCAGGGGAATTCTGGGAGAAATCTTCCGCATGAACTCCAGGATGCTAAGCGTTTCCACCAGCCGCTGGATGAGGAATATTTCCAGCCCTGTCAACCTCACCTTTTGTCACCTTGAGGTGTGTAAATGAATTCTGTACAGGAGATCAGGGAAGTGTTTTTTCTGTTCATATTGTGAATATCTATTAAGACGTGAGAGAGACCCCTCCCCCAGTGTCAAGGAAAATGTAGAGCTGGGCCAAGACCCTCAGCTGAACTCCCTGTATTCATCCAAGCTTTGTTCCCTGACACTCAGATTCACAGGCAGGTATCCTAGTTTATCAGAAATGTTGTCATAGACATAGTTCCTTCTGCTTGTCATGTATTCTTTACCTGTTAATCTTACTTTGCGGCTCCTATTCTTTGCATCAGAAAGACGCATAACTTTCAGTGGACTTTCTCCAGATCTTCCTCCAACCCTTCCCCTTTCTTACAGAATAAAGTTCCCCAGGAAAAAGCGGTTTGTGTCCACTGGGACTCTGCAAGCAAAAGTGGTGCCTGGTCCCCTGAGGGCTGCCAGCTCCTCCAGTCTAACAGCACTCATTCAGAATGCAGCTGTCAGTACCTGTCCAACTTTGCTGTGCTGATGGCCCCCACTCCCAAGCAGGTAAGTCAGACTTAGGTCCAGCAATGTCTGAGTTCCCTGTTGGAGGAAAGAGTGGAACACCAGACCCTAAGTTACCACTAATCCATTACTTTTGGGTCTTGTTATAGTATTTCATGGATTAGATAGTGTGAGGCTACTCCAGAGTTAGTGGTGGAGAAACACGTTCATAGAATACTTCTTAAAACTGCTGCAGGTTTCTTTGTCATCATTAATGGTTAAAAGGGCAATTCGGACACCTGATGTCCAAACTGGTGAGGGGGTGGAATCAGGCTGAGGTGCTGCACACCAACTTTTTATTGTATTTAAGGCATAACTATTAGGTTTATTATATATATACACATATATACACATATTACATTTCAGCAAGATGCTCAGCATCACTTTAATTTTCCTTATGGAATCACTGGAGTTTGTGGAAGCTGAGGATTTTGTGAAATCAAAATCTGCTAGATGCAGTGTAAAAAAAACCCCACATGTTTATCAAAAGTCAGTTTTTGGTTCTGAGAGACACTGTCCTGTGTTACAGGGAGCTCTGATCCTCTCCATTATCAGCTACATTGGACTCATCATCTCGCTCATCTGCCTCTTCCTGTCCATTGTTACCTTTCTCTTTTGCCGCTCCGTCCAAAACAGCAGCACCTTCATCCACCTGCAGCTGAGTTTGTGCCTCTTCTTTGCGGACCTCATCTTCTTAATCGGAATTGACAAAACATACAACAAGGTATTTTGGCACATCCTTGAAGGATATGCAGAGACTCTCTGATCCAAAGCAGTACAGGAATCTAGTACTGAGTACTGACAAAAGGGCGCCTTTGATTTCCATTTCAGATCCTGTGCTCGGTCATAGCTGGGGCACTGCAGTACCTCTTCCTGGCCTGTTTTGTGTGGATGTTCTTGGAAGGTGTGAACCTCTTCATCATCGTCAAGAACCTGAAAGTGGCAAATTACGGCGGTACCAGCAAGTGCATGAAGATATCCATGTACCTCTGTGGCTATGGGCTCCCTGCCATGATAGTTGGCATTTCTGCAGCAATTTCACCCGGGTCCTATGGGACCCATTATCAGTAAGTGTCTGTTTTAGAATATAGGGAGGCAGGGAGATCTGCAAAGGTCATCCTTTGAAGTCCTCTGTTTAAAATAATTGGATTGCCCATGTAACTAGTGCACCTCAATCTTGAATGTATTTACTGGTGGATTTTATTATCACTCTACAGACCCAGGTTTGTGGGCTAACAGACACAAAGACCAGCTAAGGTTTTCCAAGCCCTTTCCACACACCCCAACACAATAAGGAAGTGGTAACTGTGATCTTAGTTAGAACGTCACTGGGCAGATGTGGATCCCACCTCCCCTGCAATCGCTGGATCCTCTTCCATCTATATTCAAATGGACATACTGGGTATTAGACATAAAACAGAATCAATCTGCATTGAGTTTCTATTTTCAGAATGAAACTACATTTATGAAAAAGTGTTTTTGAGGGGTATATAGTGAGGAATAGTTCCAGACTGTGTGGACTAGGTAGGGAAAAACAAACAAACAAGCTGAGTGAACACTGAATGTAGACTATATAATGTTGTGTACATGTAGCCGTGTTTTCAGGTGTAACTGCAGTTTTGGTGCTTGTGGGTTTTCCAAAAGTTATGTTGATGGTATTTCTTTTTCCTTAGCTGCTGGCTTAACCATGAGAAAGGTTTTATCTGGAGCTTCCTGGGACCCGTCTGTGCCATAATCGTGGTCAGTAAAAATAGCTCTCATTCTCTAAAAATAACAGGAAAATGGGGCAAAAACACAAGAAAACACAGACTGCTTGTGGAACATCTCCCTGCTTTATAACTGCTAAAGGAAAGGAAATCTTTTATAGGCTGAGGGGCAGAATTCATAATTCTTGTTGTCAGCCAGATCTAGGCCAGGTCTTTGGCTTCATCTAATACTTGAAAGGAGTCCTGAGAGTTACTTCTATATTTGCCCTCATGTCTTCAGTTTAATTAGTTATCAATAATGTGCAATAGCTCGGTTTTACTACACTGATATGGGCTAGAAATAATTTTGCAATGTCACTAGAAACTTTTTCAAACTGATAGTGAATCTGCATCACTCATCTAGAAACTGGATATGAATAAAGTGACTTCCAGAGAGTTTGTTCATTGAAATGTCATCCTGATTGGTTTTCACAATATTTGCGGGCAGGTTATACAATGACCCAGTTTATTATTTCTGCTTAGTTCATGGTGCAGTTACATGAGTTACCAGTATATTGCCCCATAATTTTCTTTCCTGCAAAAGGTCTGGTGTGTGTGTGTGTGTGTGTGTGTTTTAAAAGTGTGTTTATTGCACATAAGCACCAAATTTGTTTTCATTGCCCAACATAAATTTACTGCTTTGCAACTGAATCCCACCCACAAAATGCAACAGTCTTAAGAATTATGCTTCACATTTTCCAGTGGAGCACTTTTTATCCTTTCTCAAATTATTTTTCTTTTTCTCAGATCAACATTATGTTTTTCTGCCTTATTCTGATGATCTTGCATAAGAAACTTGCATCTCTCAATTCTGAGGTCACTACCCTCAGAAATACCAGGTAAGATAAACCACATAGTAGTGCAAAATCCAGCTCCCCAGTTTTAAGTGGTGATTTTAAAAACTGGACTTGGTGATTGGCACCTGAGTTACTGGAACACTTCAGACATTATAGCAAATCTTAACTGCTTTTCATCGCTACCCACAACTTTTCCAAGTCCTCTCCTGTCTTATGAAGCTTTGGTTTCCTTCTATTAAACATGAGTGAAGAACATGTACTTTCAAGGACAGCCACTGAGAAAGAGAGGGTTGTCTGGGATTCGTTCAGATAATACAACTTCCCAGTACTCCCTTACCTTTTCAGACCATCCACGCTGTTGCCTTCCTCTTTTGTAGGTCACTGACATTTAAGGCAATGGCCCATGTTTTCATCCTTGGTGTGACTTGGTGTCTAGGCCTCTTTCAGTTTGGCACTCTGGCTGAGGTAATGGCATACCTGTTCACAATCACCAACAGTGTGCAAGGATTCTTCATCTTCCTGGTGCATTGCTTGCTGAACAAGAAGGTAATGTATGGAACAAGAGAGGGTAGCACTTAGAACAAGCAATATCAAATAAAATGTGGGGCAATAGGATACAAGGGTCATTTAAATTCTACTCAATATTGATCCAGAGCAGATTCCAACATATAGTTAGTGGAGTAAAAACTTAGACCAGAGGCAATGAATATTTCATCCAGCAGAGCTTTACTGCTATTGAAGGCAAATGAGCATAATGGTCTCAAATCCAATACATTCAGGATTGGCACTGTCCATAAGAAATCCAGTTGCAGCAGACTTAACTTAAACTTACAATACTTATAATAAGTCTTAAATTTAACACTAACCCACAGAACACCACACCAGACGGAAAAGAGATAGAAAGAGAAAGTAAGTGGCCCTACTATTATAGTCGGCATGACCTTGACAGAAAGAGATAACAGAACCAGTTTAAACCAGCTGTACTCAACTTCTCAAACATCATGAAGTTTCTTTCACACAGAGAAGCTTCCAGAATCCTCTTGAGCTAAGTAGAATAGGAAAGATCTCTACACATCAGATCAATAGTTTATGTACTAAGAAATGTAAATTGACAACAAAATATAACTTAGTGCAAATTTTCAAGGCTGACTCCTAGTTTGTGGACCGTTGAACAAGGGACAATTTTGTTCCTTGCTCCCTGCAATACTCACTCCAAAGAAACAGAATTAGATTTAGTGTTTTTATGGGGAGACTAGAAATCTCTTCCTAGTAGCTTTGTATTTTGAATCCTCAGGTAAGAGAAACATACGGGCGTTTGATTTCTTGCAAGAAAGATTTCAAGTTTCCTGCTTCTGACATGACGATGACTTCTGTCCCCATCACCAATCCCATGGTAAGAAAGGTGCCTAATCCAGATATTTTAGCAATTATAATATGGTTACCCTTGCTTCCGCCATGTATTCATGGCATTCCATAGGATATCTGCACATTTAGGGGGCAGATATGCTTCTCCAGCACATGCCATCCTCCTAGTAGAAACATAATCTCTCCACAGATTGTAGCTGGGAGAAGTTAGCTGGGCCATCATCTGGGTATCATATGCCTGGCTAGAAAGAGTAATGCTGGTGCAGGTTCTGAGATGTCTATGATTTCTGTACCTGTCAGTGTCCCCCTGGTAAGACAGATGCATGATCCAGACATTTTCTCTAACCAGCAGTGATATGGTTAACCTTACATCTCTCAGCCCCTAATATTCACAGCATTTCACATTCTTAGGACATCTGCCCTTTATAGGTGATGGATTTGCTTCTCCAGGACATTTGTTCCTCCTACTATGAAATACCATCTATTCACAGATAGCTGAGCTGTTGTGGGATTATTATATACCTGGCCAGAAAGAGCAATGCTGGTGTAGGCTCTGCATGATGTTGTACCTTCATTTCTGGGAGTTTTTTCCCCACCTTTCTGGTTCAGCAGTAAATTGCTGAGTCAAGTGAAACCTCAGTGCAACCTCGATGAACTCTAGAGAGCAATCAGAGCTCTGCCTGTAATAAAAAACATCACTTTGACCTGTGCTGTGGTGGACATTTTGAAACTTTCTTTTTCAACCATTCATTGCATGAGAATGAAAGACTCCCAAAATATCATGGGGGTGGGGAAAGGAAATTTCTTGGAAGTTTTGAGAGGGGTTTCCTTTCTTTAACTTCATCAGGTGGCCAAAGGTTTTCTTTTTTACAAGCTTCTTTTTTTTTTAATCCCATTCTGCTGAAATGGTGCAAAGCTCTTACTGCAGCTTCCCACTGGCCACACCCACTGGAAGGGAATTTCAGCCCAGCCTTAATTTCAGGCTCATATTTTAATAAACTATTTGGTTTATAACCCTAGTGCTGATCACTGCCTTGCAGGGTTTAACAGAGAGGAACATGGTGGGAGGAACATGTTGTTCATTGCACCAGCTTGGAGCTCGCACAGCAATTGCGCCCTAATTGGTGCCAATACCATCGTGTGATTGCAGTGCAGCCAACTTGGGATGCAACAGATTTTATAGATCCAGTATTTCATGGAATGTTTCATAGGAAATGTGTTCAGATATTATGGATTACAGTTTTTAAAAGAACTGCTTTTTACTATTAGAGTTGCAGGTTGAGTGTTGTAGAAAATTCTCCCTGCTGTTAAATGCTGGTTTCTTAAAGGCTGAAGTGGCCGATAGGTTTCTGTGTTAAAGGTAGACAGACTCACATATTCTGAATTTCGCACTCTTTTGCTTATGTATCATAGCCTGTGACCTAAGGAACTTCTTTCCTTATCTTTTCCAGAGGAAAGAGGAAAGCACTGCTTCAGGGAATCAACAGATGGTGGGATGGGGGACAGAGCCATAATCAAATACCATGTTTTGGTCTCTTCCTTCTGCATCAAAAATACAACTGAATGAAACTGGACGAACTACAGGAATTTTTCATATCCAAGCAATTATTCCTTGTTTGGTTGCCTTCCAGCTTTTTAAGGTACCAGGATTAAAAAAACCATGGAAATCCTCATATTCAAGACATTTCCTATTGCTATTACGATATACTGTAGATCTCAAACACTCCTGTTGCCCGTTGAAGTTTTAGGTAATCGATCATGATGAGCTTAACAAAGCAATGGACATTGAACAGAGGAGAAGACTCATGGCTGTCACTGGGACTGCTTCATAGTGCCTTGGCAACAGTACCCTAATGGCAATAACTACTTACTTTAGGTAGCACTGATCAAGTCTGTACCTATATATTCATATTCATATTCTGGCTGAGGCCTTTGAGGCAAATTTTCCTTCGAAACCCAGGTTCTCACAAATATTTGGGAACAGAAGAAAAGCTCAGCTAATAATTTCACCTGCTGTCACTTGAGATGAAATATGTATACATATATGCATACATACACAAATACGATGATTCTTGAGTGTGGAGAGAGAGAGAAACACCAGGAAAGACTGAAAACGTTTGTTGTTATTTATTTTCTTTCCCTTTCCTGCCCCCCTTGCTGACATCGGAAATGGCGCCCTATCTTAACTCAGATTAACTATAGGATTTCACACATGAATCTTAAAAAGCAAAACCTTAGCTTTGGGACAGTTTATTAATTTGAGATTCATAATTTTCAGATTGTATACTCTATGCCATATTAGCACTCACACCTGCAGGTTCTTAAAAGAAACCATCCAGATGCTTATTTTAAAACAACACAATTGGAATCACTACTATTAGCTCAAATATCTTGCTATGAAGTTAAAATGAAATTTGGGTAAGCTGATTGCATGAACAGGCACAATTATTCTAGGTTGCCTTGGCAGCAAAACCTGTCTGTTTGCCCTGTCAAATGTACTATTGTATTCTCAAAGGTGCTCGCTGAAAGCCTTTGAAGACTTGAGACACTGCTGCCAGTATGAGCCTGTGAGTGACCCGAACTTCAGTCCAAATACCCCAAACCTATATCTGAGCCAAAGACTCCCAGAACCCTGGCTAGCCACTTGGGACAATCCACCCTTGAACCTCAAAGCTCCTCTGGTTGGAATTCTGACTGCTTGGACAGCCTGACCAACCAAAAACCCTCACAAATAGCTTATCACCCCCTTTCTCCTCAACTGACAAATCTCAGCTATCCTACCAACAACTGACAGTTAACTCCCAACTGACTGGAACCACTAGTTGGCCAGCAAAATATTTTCTTCTCATGCTTGGAGTAATATTAGACATTTAAATATGCCTGGGATCACTTAAATCGCCGCAACAGTTTCTACTGCTCAGTGATGGGGTCAGCCTTCCGCCATCCCTCTGTGAAAATGACAGTGTGACACCAACTTCCTCACAGGTAAGGCTTCCTAAGAACTGAAACCATGTTTGGCCACAGTATCTCCTTCCTGAGAAGATCTGTGCTTTCCTTTTGCAAGACTGTGTGGTTTCCTTTTGTGTACTGTGGTCAGTAAGGGATAGGTGGATTTATGACAGTTTACTCAGATGAGGCTTCCAATGCTCAAAATTGTTTAATTAAGAAAAATGCAGGGAGATGATGTGGCCTTGAAGATGTTATTGGACTAGAACTCCAATCATCCTTACCCATTATCCATGGGAAAAGAATATAGAAAAACAGATAATATGTATCTGTTTTGAAGTTGTCTGTGTTGTTGGTATTAGATTATATTTTTGTGGTTTTTTCACAATTAAAGAATAGACAGGAAAATACTGTGTGTGTGTGTGTGTGTGTGTGTGAGAGAGAGAGAGAGAGAGAGAGAGAGAGAGAGAGAGAGAGATACATAACTAAGTCAAAATCTCTGCAGAACTTCGAGCTTACAGGAACCAGAGGCTCCTATTTTCCTGCTGCTTTCCCCCAGGGAAAACTGCCGTTTAGTGCTCAGCTGGAGCAAACAGCAATTTGTGTTTTCTCCGGATTGATCTTTGCTCTGATTTGGCACTAAAGAGTGGGTTTTCTCTGGGAAAGGAATGGGGCATGGGGAAAAAATGCTCTGAAGCATGCCTAGTGAGCATGGGTCAAGCAGAAAACCATTTGGACTCATGCTTTCTAGTCATGGGAGAAGCAGAAGTGTGGATGAGCCTATTTGAGTGATTCTGAGAGTGGGCCTTTGTCCCTCCCCTCGCCAGCTCACTGACATCTGAAATGGCACCCCAACTTCACTCACGTTAGTTATAGGATTTTGTACATGAATCACTAAAAAAGAAGAAGATTTGGACAGTTTTTTAATTTGAAATTCATAATTTTCAGATCATATATGCCACAACAGTGCTGCCACCTGCAGATTCTTTACAAACTTTAGACAAATACTGCTTTTTAAAGGACATCATTGGAGTTGCTATTATTAGCTCAAATACATGGCTATGAAGTTAAAATGCTATCTGCGTAAGTCAATTAGATGAACGATTACAGCACTTGCTGTTGTTAAAAGGCACAATTATTTTAGACTGCCTTTGCCAGTCCAACTTGGTTGTTCTCCCGGTCAAAGATACTGTAGTATTCTCTGATGAACACGTCTCCTAGGTTCCAACTGCCATCAAATGAGTATCCAAAACCACTAAAGCAGCCGACTTGTTTGTCCTAGAGAGAAGGAAAAGGATAGTCACCACATGCAGGAGGTTCTACAAAAATATCATCCCAGAAAGTAATTGGGTAGCAATGCATACAGTAACATTCCAGCACAAAGAAGGAAGAGTTTTTCCTGAAAAAGTCTCCAAAGGAGATAAATAATGTAGATACAACAACAGTACAATAGTAATAGTGCACAAGACTGTACATTATGTATTTGGCCTCTTAATAAACAGGATGATGTCCCAATCAATACAAACCAGAGAAGTGTACAAATGAGCAAAGTATTGAAAAGTGATAGGAATCCTCCACAATTCCAAAATGCTTTTTGCCTACAAAGGTAGTGGCTGGAGGTGGGGAACACTCCCATTGAAATCACAGGGAGGTGCCTTACGCTGAGTCAGACCACTGGCCCTCTAGAACAGTATTGTCTACAGTTCGACTGACTGAGTTTCATGCAGAAATCTTAGCCAACCCTACTTGGAAATGCTGGAGATCTTCAAGTTGCAAAGCAAATGCTCTGCCACTGAGCTATGGCTCCTCCCTGTGGAGCCGATGAAGAGCACAAGAGCATGGTTTCCTATCTCCTCCCCTGCCTTGCCCCCTGCCACAAAGGAGGCAGTGACAGTACAGGTGTACAGCATGGGCCCATCCACATTCCTGTTTGGACGACGGGATTTTGAAACTCTCTAGAATGCCTCATCACCACAAGGAGGAAACGAGGGGAGGAAAAATAGTGTTTGCTTCCAGCTTCTGTCTTCTCTGCAACTTCCATGCAAATACTTGGAACACCTGAGCGCTCCATAGACACATTGCTACATTTTGATGGAAGGTGTAATATGCGTCCTGAGGATGAGTGGGCACCCAGGTTTTGCACTAACGGGGGCAACATTCTGGGGATAGGAATAATTACTCTGTGGTCAGAGATATAATATCTGTATTCAGAGATACAATACAGTTGTACAATACAATTCTGTATTGTACAATACAATTCGAATCAGGATGTTGCTCAGCAGAGCAGAGCCGTTATCCGAATTTGGATTGATTTTTTCCCTATCAGACATGCATGTATTAGCCCAGCATTTCTGACATTTTCAGCATATCTGATATGATTTCCCCCTAAATATTTATTCCATTTTTTCTGTTTTCAGCCCATGTGTTCTTAAAGATTTTGCACTTTAAATCTGCCCCAACCCCTTTTGAATTTGCATTCTTATGGCAAGTAAATGAGATTCAAGAACGATTATGTACCTTAAGAGTGTAGGCTGATGGCGGCAATGGATAGTGGATTCCATTGATTACAAAAACAACATCTGGCATATTGGAGAGTTCACTGCAGTTGATTTCACTCTGAAAAAGATAAGGAAGAGAGCTGAGTTCTTGTGTTGTTCTGATGATGAAGGAAATGAACTGGCAAACCTCAAGCCTGGTTAAGAAATGCAGTGGACTCGTCCCAGTGCCAATCCCAGGAAAGAACCTTAAGAGAGAACTTGAGTATTCTGGACTTCCCTTCAGACCGTCTAATGTAGCACACAGGTCTGAACAGTGCATTGTAGCACAGAAACAGGGCATTTAGCCGAAGATTGCAAACAAATAAACTCAAAGCTTTGAATCCAATCTTCATATCCCAAACCATATCCTCTCAATTCAGATGATACAACCATCCATTCTAAATTCTGCTCTGAGACCAAATCCCCCATTCTAAAGGTGATGCTGATGCCATGCTGACATACTGAATCTGTATGTCTGTTCTTTCTTGAAATATACTGTTTGGGGAAAATAAAGATACCACAACTGTGAATACAACTATTTTGAGGAGAGGCAATGGTACTAGATAATAGCAGCAAAGCCTGCTCCCTCTCTCTGCAGATGGAGTGCAAAAGAATTGTGCACATTTCATATTTGTACTGAAGAAGGACCTTCCGCAAGTTTAAGGTTGCATGACAAGGTACATCTCTTGCCAAGAGCCAATAAACCCATGAAAAACATATCCTCACTTCAGCTAACTTTGTTAATTCAACATTAGGCCCATTTTTTCATTGGATGTCACACTGTCCAGCCAAACTCCAGTTTGTTTCCTTTTCCTGCTCTTACCATTGCCTCTCCTTCCTGCACTCTCACTACATACTCACAAAGCCTTGCATGCCATATCCCCTATGCCCAGGCACATTAGTGTGCATGAGCAATACCATGAAGAACTGTGAAGACTAGGACTGGGATGCAAGCAGGAATCCGAGGTCAAGCCTAATCTTAAGCACCTTACTCTGCATGTATCTGAAATGTGAGCTCAGCTAATGATATGGGGTCTCTTTCAGCTACTGTGTGAAGACAATGGCCAAAAAGTAAAACTTACTATGCCAAAGTGTGTTGGAGTGGCTCCAATGGCTTTTTCGATTTTAATCATCTCATATTTTGGGCCAAGCAAGAGGGATGTCCCTGTATCAATGATTCCGTGGCATCCACCTTTGCAGGCAATCTCTGTACCATCCACTAAAATGCTGAGAAATGAGAAATCATTAGAGTATGACATAGAACTTGCCTTGGATCAGACCACTGGTCCACTGAGCTCAAAATAGTCTATGGTGAATGGCAGCAACTCTCCAGGATTTAAAATGCGGGGTTCTTCTAACTGCGTCTGGAGATATCAGTTATTAAACCTGGGATCTTCTGCATGCAAAACATAGGCCCGACCACTGAGATACAACCCTTCCCCAAACATGAACTTAAAACAAAATGGATAGTGGGATATGATAAATGGTTTCAGTAAGATATCCATCCCTATGCAGCTTAGGTTCTCTGTTGTACTAGCCAATATTACATCACATATTGGAAGCTGTAGAAGGTAGTAAAGCAAGATGCATGAACTATCGATTTTAAGGTCTTCAGGGCAGGAACCTGTCCTTATATACACTGTAGATCACCATCATCATAATAAACAAACAAACAAACAAACAAACAAATATAATGATAATAACATTGACAATTCATCCTAACAACTGACATCTTGCAAACACAAAGTAAACTGCATATTAGTATTTACATTTTATTGCAAATCCTTCTCTTCATTTCCTTTTGTGCCTTATATTTTTAGCTAGCCAATAACTAGGGCTGGATCTGCACTGATATGTAAAAACGCCATTGAAAGATTTTATTTTAAAGTTACATAGCTCTCAATGTAATTTCCCATTGCCAACTGATTGCTTCTCTGCAGCACAGCGCTGGTGTCATATTTTTATAACACATTTTAATGTTATAACTGACCAGTATAGATTTGGCCAATGAATATTAGTCACAATAATTTTCCAGTGTTATTGTAGACGGCACCTACTTTTCCTTGTGGCAGTCTATATGTTAAGAATACCTTAATGCTACAACAACAACTAATAATAATAATTCCTGCTTACCTATCCAGTGCAATCTGCCAAAAACCTGACTGATAATTAACAGGTATCCAATTAATACGACCAGTATAGTGAGATTGATCAATTCCACCAAAAATGAACTCACTTCCTCTTTTCTTTCTGAAACATGAATATATGGTGTGCTGTTACCAAGCCATTCATTCAGAATAAATTGAACTGTATGTTAAAAAGTGAATGTATCATATTCTTGTACCTCTGTGCAAGAGAGAAAAAGAAAGGAACATTCATAATGCACCAGTATCTAATTGTGAACAATGACGGCTCTAAGATTCTGAAAGGTGAATGCTGTTAATACTGTATACTTTTCCTGTTTTGTTCTCCATATCACCATGCTTCCTTTTCTGTACATCACACACTGACTTCCCCCTTCATAATCTTCATAAGATTTGTTCTTCCCTACTGTAATTGGTTTTCATTGTGATTTTAAGGAAGCCAGTTTGGAGCAGTGGAGGCCATTCTGCAGAAGGGGCCTCTACTCCACCAACCTCAGGTTACCTCCAGCCAGCCTCACCTGCCTGCCTGCTTGCTTGCACCCAGTCCAGGGAGTGTCATTGCCTGTGAGATGCCTTCCCCTCAGTCAGTCTTACTGCTGCCATTATATACACAGCAGGGAGGAGAATGGGGAAGAAAGCGAGAATTGGTTGTCTTTGCTTGTGACTGGCTCTGCTTCCACATACTGTTTGCCTTCCTGCCTTCTGCCCTAGAAAGGCTAGCTGACATCACTGCACCCTTCACTCTGGCCTTTGTCTGTCTAACTACTAGCAAGTAGAGGGAGGGGGTCCCATTTATTTGCTGGCTAGCACAGAGACCCTTCATTTGTTGCCTCGATAACTCATCACCCAAGCTATCACTTCAGCAAAGAAGCTAGCCTAGCTATTCCAGGAATTCGAATCCTTGATTAGATTGTTGGACCCAGGAATTAAAAGGGTCTTGCCATACAGCCTACGCCTCTCACAACTCATAACAATACATTTTGCTGACTACTTGACCTTAAAAATAGGTGAAAAGGTCTTTGTAATGCTGTCCTCCCATTATTCTGGATGGGGTACAGTTGCAATTGGGAACAAAGATTCCATAAGTGTTTTTAGGTAGGAGGGTCTCAAGGTGATCCAATATTAAATTAAAATCAAAAGTGATGTGAGCTATACTGATGAGATATAATCTAATTTCCTATTCTGCATTTACATAAATTATAGAATGCTCTTCGTCTTCACTCTCAGCCTCAACTCTCTACCTTCCCACATCAACATAGTTCACCTGAACTTGGTTCTTCCCTTAAAGCAAAGCTCTTCTCTCAACAAATCAACTTAGCAGTAAAGCAAAATAGTATTTACCTGCTGAGATAAACAGAAAATTGGTGTTTCTCAAGCAAGCCTTCCTTCATCAGGCTATCAAAGAATGGAGTTGCTTTTTCTTCAGAAAGGGAGGGGTAGGCTAAGCCCAGGATCCCATCAAATGTCATGTTGACAAAGGCTTTACCTGACTCAGTGGTACTCAAGCCAAATCCCTGATGAGAAATGGAAAGACTGGATACCTAGGAGAGAAGCAAAGTATCTCCTTACTTTTATATCAAGCTGTGAAGTACAGAGCAGGGTTTTACTAGTGATGTTCATCTGCTTATTGACACAGACACACACACACACACACACACACACACACACACGTGATGTATTGAAGTTACAGCCCTGTGCATGTTAACAAAAAGGAAACCTCATCAAACAGTGTTCTGTCTTGCTTTTCTTTTTAAACATGTATGGAATTTGGCTTTCCAGAGAATAATATTCAAATGTAGATAGTGGGTAAGAGTGACTTACATCCCTGTTTTAAACCTCTTTATTCAGAAGTAAATCTCAACAATTTCATTCACGTTTACTTCAGGATCCCATGATTTTGTACTGCTTCAATTTCGTATTACTTTGATGCTAACAATGGCAATTAAAAATCAAGAAATCAATGGACTATGCTGCTACGTGGGGAATGCTTTGGTGTATATTAAAAAACAAACTCAGGGTTGGCATGTTCCCATCATTTTTTATTTTATTTGGCAGTAGCCCTTTCTGCTTCCTCCCCCAAAATAGTATTCTCATTTTCTTGATTGATATTGATTGAACCTTTCTATGTTATGAAGTGATATCTAACTATGTATCACAGATCTATCATAGTAAGTCACCAGTTGGTTCTTTTTTGTTGTATTGTATAATGTTTCGATTACTCAGTAAAGTCTTTTTAAACAAAAAACAAAACAGCTATTAAGTTAAAATATATTTTGTTTTGAGTTCCTTTATATGCATCCATCTGCAGCTACATCTACATATGTATTTATGTATATATGTATATGTGTGTGTGTGTGTTTCTAGAGAAAATAATGGGCTGTTTTGTTTTTCCTGCGTTAAAGTTTGAGTTCCAGCATTCAAACAGGCTGAGATTCACTGGCCTTCGAAATGCACAGAACCGGGGACTTCCGGGTTAGCGCCATCGGCAATGGTGGAGTTCCTCTGACCGGGAGGAACCCGCTCCGTAAAAATCGGGTCTTGCCGCCGCGGCAAAGGCGGAGACCCATCAAAAATCCCAGGCGGATGAAGCCTGGGAATGTGGGATTTGGCTGACACCAGGAGCGCCTCCCCTACTTGCAGGGAAACCCTTTTTCGGGGATCCGAAGCGACGTGGGGTGAGCAGCGCGGTGTTTTGAATCGACTGCTACTTTTACGGAGTGAAGCCACACAGCCGTTGCCGGAGAGCGCTGACTTTTTCCTGTGGACAATTGGAATCTAAACAAGTACTCGTGAGTAGAAACGGAAAATTGGATTAAGAAACATTTTAATTTGGCACCGAAGCGGGAAGGTTCAAAACAGGAAGTCCGCCTTCCGCTTTTGTAAATAGACTGAAGCAAAAACCTTGCAAGCTAAAGTCTGGAAAGTCGTATATAAAGGTCTAATTTTCCTTCATTTATAACCACCAAAACCCCCCTTGGAAGCAGGAGAAAGGGGGGGGGGACTTTGACTGTTCAAGCCTGCAGGAGAGAGAGTAAAGAAAGATATATTTCCACTGTCTCAAACCTGGGAATGGGGTGTCAGAGACAGAAAATTTTGGGGATGTTCATTGACTGTGAATGGAACGTCTTTGATAGATAGCAAAAAAAGGAGAAACAAGTTGATTCCAATGTTGCCTTTTGCATTCAAAAGAAACAAAATATTTGAAAAATGAAAGTAATTTTCCTTTGTTGGACCTGCTTTAAAAAGATGGATACAAATAGAAATTGTCTCCTCTAGAGGGAGCTTGTTAAATTGTTGCTGCAGTCGATTTGGGGATTTCACAACTGGGAGATTAGGGACCAGTCTCTGACCTTGAACAAAAAATGTGTTTAGAAGAAGTTTTGGTGCTTGCTTTTTGCAAGACAAGCGCTTTGTTGGAGCAGATGCATGAGAAGATGGATCTGATGACTGTTGCAGTTAAAAACTTTGGACAAACGGTGAACACTCATATAGAAACCATTCAGGAACCAACTCAGGAACCTGTTTTGACAGGGCAAGTGCAAGTGCAGAAGATAATGGAGGAGGTTGCTGTTGAACCTCAAGTAATACAAATGGAGAGACCCGAGGCCCTGCAGGAGCATAAGCCATCGTTCTTGAAGATTGAATTCGGAGTGGGCCAGGGGGGGGTCTGGAGCTGTGGGGGCTCTTAATCTCGGAGGGACTTTGAAACATGCTTTTAAATATTTTCTGGATTACACTGCTGACTGTGGGGAGTGGGACTGTGGGGAATGGGCTGATCTGATGAGGGGAGATGGAGATAATTTTGGGTTGGAGTCTCCCCGAGACCTACTCCTCAATGAGAAAGGAAAGAAATGAAGAAAGAGATCATCAAAAGACAAGGAAAAGTGCAGGTATAAACAGGAAGAAGATCTGCAGAAGGGACATGGAAAAGACTTAAGAGCCTCGGACATAAGATTACCAGGTTGATGGACTAGATGGAATGGCCAGTAAGGACTGACATAACCCGAGACCAGGAAGAAGAGATGTTGGATGAAGATTGGAAGAAAGTTTATAAAAAAATTTATTTTGGGATTTAGTGTAAAATTAATGAATATTAGGGAAAAAGTTGGAATGAAACTATCTGGCTTTAGTAGAAATGATATAAGGAGTTATGTATAAATAAGTATTAAGTTTTAAGCTTTAAGGTATTTTATGGTAAGATAAGGTTAAAATAAATTAAGGCAAATTGAATGACAGAATATAGTGAAAGATGGAAAGGATTTGCTGAGTTAATTAATAGGTTAGACTGTTAAGATAAATTACTCAACAAAAATTGAGAAAGATGGAAAGAATTTGCTGAAACAATTAATTAAACTAGAACACAAAAAGGGAGGTGTGAGGAGGTCGATGAAACAAGCAAATGAAAGATAAAGATATGGAATATTGGATCTGTGTTTTTCCCCGCTGTATTGTTGTATTGGTTTTTATGTACTTTCCCCCCCTTTTTTATGTATTGCAATGTATGTTTTGTTAAATCTTTTTGTTGTTTTCTTTTTTTTTCTTTTTTCTGTAATCTTTAAATTTCTAATAAAGGGAAATGCACAGTACCAATAGCTGAGTATAACATTGTACTGTACCTATATAATATTATTAGTTTACCTTAACTGTATCAAATACCAAGATTCCTTTCATGCTTCCGGTCCCATACACAATGTGGAAGTGTTTTCCTGTTCTGCGGAAGGTAGAAGACTTAGATGAGTCAAACCTCCGATGTTTTACTAAAAGTAAAAAAGAAAGAAAGCATTAAATAGATATAAAAATAGTGTTTAATTAATCATAGATATCAGGCAGAAATCACAGTATAAATTTGCTGTCTGAAGAAAACTATTGTAAAATTTTAAAGTAAAGGGTGTTTGGAAAATACTAGCAATCTTGTTAGTCTACCTGCAGGAAATATTTAGATAAAACTGGGAGCTATTATTATTTAACTGAATAAATTTTACCCAATACAAAATGATTCCCTGATATTGAAACTTGAATCTTTCTTTCCCTCCCCCATTTCTCTCTCCCTCTCTCCACACATGCATATATTCATTCTAACATTTTCGTACCATTAACTAAAAATGTCTATGTACGATGATGGGAATTGAGTTTCACACAACCAAATCCACTTGATATTCTTGTATAGTCTTATGTGTGTTTACTCAGAAGTAATGCCTCTAATGGACTTTGATGGCACTTCCTTCCAGGAAAGTGGGTATATAGGATTGGAGGCTCACTCGCCAATCCAATGCATATTTATTCAGAAGCAAGTCCCTGTGCATTCAGTGAGTCCTAGGTAACTGGAATTATAGCCTCAACCAGAATCTGGATTTCTGGTTGTGAAATAATGAGCCTATTCCTTATAGCTCCCCACCACCACTTTTACATCTGACTAACATGTTCGACTACATTGAGGTAGTCAGTTACTTACAGCATGCCTCACTACTGCACTTGACAGATGGTACCCAGAGATCAGATGACCCAGTGTCAAAAACAACAGAGAACTTCTGTGGTGGGGTTCCAATGTAGATTGTTCCATAGTATTCGAGCTGTTGATTTATAAAACAAATACACTTTGTAACACTTATTTTGGTTACTTCTCTCTTTTTTCCGACTTTTGAAAATTTTAGTTCCTGACAGATATGCAAGTTAATCACTGTAAATTTGAGTGCCACATAACTAACTGAAGGGTGGAAGCAGGAAGTAGATTCTTGGCAAAGATTGGTTCATGCAGAAAGGGGATTCCCCCCCCCCCCAAAATAAATGAAGAATGAACATCAAAATGTTCAAGCTGAATGCACAGAAACATAACCTACAATCAGCAAAGATACAACAGTAGGAATACCAATTTTCCCCAGTGTCCTTCTGTGCATAGTCAGTAAGGTAAAATAATATTTTTCTGGCTCATGTCACCCCAACTTGCCCTACATGTGGTTCAGTAGGGTGGCCAGATGCAAAAGAAGTCAGGACTCACAGACCTTTAATGGATGTGTAGAATTAGGGTTGTTGTTTAGTAAAGGGCATTTCTGTGGGATGTAAACACAGGAGCAGTCAATGACAACATTCCTAGAGTGTACATGTCTAGAACATGGGGGGGATGTCTGTCCAGCAAGCAGGTAAACTTCCTGGGGACGGACTTCCTCCGCATGTGACCAGAGGTGGGTGTGGCCTCACCTGTGCAGGTGATGACAAAAAGCACAGGGCAGGCAGCCATCTCTCTCTCTCTGCCATTTTCCTTCGACGAGGAAACACCTAAGGATGCCCTCTTGGCTCCCAGCCAAGAGAGGAGATAAGGCCTATCTTGCTATGAGATAGATTCTAAATCTATGTAACCTTTTTAAGCTGTGCCTTCTGGGATCACATTGTGAACAGAACGTGAGTAAACTCTTTTATACTTTTATGAAGACTGTGTCGTGTCTTGTATTTTAAGAGGGAACTAAAGGGGAAATTACCAGGGTAATTATTATAGAGGTTCTAGCGAACCTGTGCACACGTTACCGTTGCGTACTAAAGGGGAATG